TTATTGATTTTTCTTGCATGGGACAAATACATCACAATGTTCCTAAAGGTGATACTTGATATCTTATCTCAGTTATACATTGTCACATTCTTATAAAAAATTGATAGTAATGTATTGTTATAAAATTATACTAATATTATTATTATAAAAAAAAATAAAAAATAAAAAATCAAGAATGTTATTACTTACAATATCGGCGGCTGTGTTTTGCCATGCTTTATCCATTTCCCCAAACACAATATCTATTGTTGGCCTACCTTTACTTGATTTAGCAACACATAAAACCGCGATTTGTAGTATGGCTTCAAAATCGACCGTGTTTAGATTCCCATTTAATCTAGGATCTTCAATATCAGTCAATGGACGTCTTCCCAAGCTCACATCTTTTGCCTTTTAAAAAAATAAAAATTAAATAATAACAACGTAATATAATTGGAAAGTTTTTGCAATGTACTTTCGTTTATTTGTTCAATTATCCTATCCTACTTTCAATTTTTTCTTATTACAATATTGTACTACTTTGAAAAGCTACCCACTTATATCAATAATGTTCATTGTTAGTACATTTTTTAGAATCTTTGCTAAAAATATCGAAACAAATACTACCTTTCTTGTAAGTTGGTCTCTTGCTTCAAGATCAAGTTCAATAACTTTTTGACCCGAAAGAAGTTGAAGGGCCACAATACCAAAACTATAAATATCACTAGCACATGTTAATTTAGCATTACTCATATATTCGGGGTCCATATACCCAATTGTACCCCTAACATCTGTAAAAACTTTGCTTTCTTCCATCCCCAAAACTTTTGCCAATCCAAAATCTGAAAGCTTCGGTTCTAAATTCTCCGTAAGAAGAATGTTTGTAAGCTACAAAGAAAAAAAAATATATGTTTTGAGTGTTTTACAAATTTTGATTATTTAATGAATATATAAATTAGGTTTCCTAAATGAAAAAAAAAAAAAAAACCCAAGTATGAGAATAAGATTACTTTAATATCTCTATGAACAATGCATCCATCTATATAATGGTGGAGAAATCGTATTGCAAGTGCACAATCTCTTAGAATCTTGACTCTTTTTTCCCATGGTAGAACACTATCCCTTCCTATAAAAATATGGAAGTAAGTATAGATTAGTCCACTTAGGTTTAGTTTATTACACGAAATATGATTTTAATTCAGACAGAAAGATAAAATGGTCATTTATTCTCATTTATTAAGTCCAAAAAAGAAACATTATTTGTTCATACAACACTTACTCCAAACAAAATTTTAATTTTTTGGTAGGGCCACTCATAAAGCAAATTTACGAGAAATACTCAATTTTTTTTCTTTTTAAAAAAAGGCTATCATTTGTAATAATGTTCAAAAGATTGTCACATGATGACATAACCTTTCCACTTTTGGTCATTTTAGCAATTAACCCTCATTTTTTTCTCAAATACTTTTGGGGTTGGCTAAAAAGACATCCAATTTTAACGTATAAACCCTAATTAATTTTTGAAATATTTTTATTGGTTGAAATTGCATTGTTTTTCGAAAAAGTTATAGGTTAACTTTTTATAAAAATATAAATGAGATGTTTAAGAGGTGTCTTGTTAGTAGCACCCATACTTTTTAAACATTATAAAAAAAAATCCTTACTCAAAAGATGATGTGCAAGATTTCCTTCGGGACAATACTCATAAACCAAATACTGTTCCCCATCTTCAATACAACAACCAAACAAACACACAAGATTCGGGTGTCGAATCCTAGAAAGTCCTTCAACTTCTCGTGTAAAAGAATCCGAATTATTTCCATTACTTATTTGTTTAACAGCAACCGCTTGTCCACTTGGCAAAATCCCTTTATAAACTTCACCCGCACTTCCCCTACCAAGACACTTTTTTTCCTCCGAATAATTTATCGCGTGGTCTATTTCGGCTTTTGAGAATCGATATAATCCCGACCATGTTGTTGGGATTTCTTTTGTGTGTAATTGAGAGGATTTGTTTTCTTGTTTTTTTCGTGTTACGTATTTTACAAGCATGATAACAAGTGTTAGACCCATACTAGCGAGAATTATGCCTAATAGTGTCTGGAAAATCGAATCTGAGAAAATAAAAAAAATGTTATTTGAAATTTTGAATGATAGTAAAATATTGTACTTTTTTTTTTATGTGGAAGTGATTAGACATATGATGTGATTACTATTTAATGTACAAGAGAATAAAATGTTTGAGGTACTAAGTTTGACAATATGTGAAACTTGGTTACTATTTAGTGAAAACCGTTTAAAGATGAAAACTTTATAAGACATGAAGTGACTTACGTTTGAGTTTGATGTAGCCTGGATCTGTGACAAAAAGAAGACAAGAAAAGAAATCCAAAATCGTTAGTTGTTTGAATGTTTGACAGATTTTGATAATTTTAAGGAACTTTGGCCTAATTTAAAATATATAAACTTCTTATTTTTTTTTTATCGACTATAATAATACTTTCATATTGTTTATCAATAAATTAAGTAAATTTGTTATTGTAATTCCAATATTCTTTTTCCCGATTGAAATATAAAAGATAGCAGTCATTTTCCTTGAATAATCTAATTATATTATAGCCAAAAACTGATTATCAGCATAGTTAAACAATCAAATTTATACCCATTGTTTGTAGTTTTAAAAGCATAGAAATCCATAAAGATGTTATATTATTATTAAATCAACAGATAATTTCAATTTTTGGAGTATTGATAATCTGCATAGAAGAAGTTATCAAGAAATTGTTACCATGAACATCCAATACACGCAAACACCCATAGAAATCATCAACAGGAGCTAACGAGCTCTCATTCCATCTCTCGGAAGCAAGTGCAGTGACAACAGCAACTCCACAAATTTCGATCTCCGTTTGATTCCCGCTCACTCCCAAATTCCTCGACAACGAATCCCTCGCCTTCAACACCGCACGACTGCAATTCCTACAGATCTCATCAAACGAAGCGTTTGATTGTTCAAATTGACCGCAGGTCGTTGTCGCATCATTGAAGCTCTGATCCTTCTTGAGATCGGCGACGGAAACCCCCGAACAATGCATCGCCTCTTTGAAGAAATTTTTGAAGTTACAGTCATCGAAATTGACGGATTCCTGTTGGGTTTTGAAGATTGATGGGTTGTTACAGTGTGACCATTGATTGGAATCGGGGAAAATTGAGGGGTTTGATGAATTGGAAGATAATCGAGCGAGGGATTTGGAGATTAGGGTTAGAGGGGATTGGCAACAAAGGGTTGTTGGGAGAATTCCCCATGCTTTGATTTTGAGTTGCAGTTCGGGGCTTATGCAGTCTCCGTTTGGTTGATAGGGTAGTGATGTGAAGTTCAACACACATCCTGCAAATAACAAATTTGTAATATTTTGATAATTTTTTTTTTAAATTTAAAATAATCAATTTTTTAAGAAAGATATAAAGGAGTATTTGTATTTTCTTTACAAAAAAAACATTATAATTTACATGTTGTAGTTAAATATTTGATTATAATTCTTGAATGTTACAATCATTTGTT